TTCTCTAATGAATTACTTATTGAGTAGGGTTGCCATCTATTTAAAAAATTACTATTTTATCCGAACATGCTATGAAGCAAAATCGAAATTGTTTGACCATGCCAATCTCTAATCTGCCGCCGCTGTGAGATAGTGGTTAGCAGTGCAAGCTACCACTCCGCAGGGCCCGGTTCACCCCAACATCAAAAAATAAAAAGCAAAACGTTTTTTTTCTTTTAGCGGTCGCCACTCGCAGGCAATGGCAAACCACTGAAGATTTTTTGTTAATGAAATCGGATTTGCATAGTTCATTCAATTAAAAAAAGAGGTCTTCAGATGTCTTTGTTTTGTGTTTTTTTTTTTTTAGGAGGGTCGCCACCTGTAGGAAAAATTACAAAATGAGGGCTGTTCGTTGAAATAAGAAAATTGAGGTGTCAAAATGAAGGGCTTGACCTCTAGATGTTCAGTAATGTGTTATTTTTTAAGTAGGGTTGCCACTTTTTTATAAATTACAAGATCTTTACTTCGTTGGACTAAAATATGAGGTATCAACTGAAACGATATGGTCTGCGGATGTGCAATAAGCTTTTATTTTTTTAGTGGGGCTGCAACTTTTTTAAAATTTGCTACCATACATACATATACATATCGTCACCTGAAATGCAAAAAGACGTAATAACATCGTAACTGAAATGGAAAAAGTCGTGACTAAATTTTTTTATTTTTTTCATTAAATGATGTGGGAGTTGTAATTCGATAAAATCCACCATATCAATCAAAAACTGAATTTTTAATTTTTTATTAGTTACGAATTTTTAAACTTCAGTGACTATTTGTTACGTCTTTTTGCATTTCAGGTGACGATATGTATGTAATGCGTAAAGGAATTTTTGTTAATGACATCAGATTTGAGCAGTTCATTCAATTATGAAAAATGAGGTGTCCATTGATCGAAGAGGGTTGCCGCCTATACGAAAAATTATAAGATTTGGGCTGTTCGTTGGACAAAAAGTGAGTTGTCAAATGAAGAGACTTGGCCTCCAGATGTGCAATAAGGTATTTAGCGGTCATGTCTCTCTGTCCGTCCGTCTGTCCGTTCGTCCGTGCAAAAATTTAGATATCTCAAAGAAATTCGGTATGTAGGTTTACCATGGTAGGTGGGTATTGAAATTCTTCTCATATAACGGTATTTTCGAAAAATGCAAAAACTACGATATTTCAGTAAATATTGGATCCAAATTAGTGAAAATTACTATGTGAAGTCGAATATTGGTAAATTTGGTAATTTTTGGAAAATGGGCGTGACCCCGCCCACTTATTATGAAATGCTATATCTCAGTACGAGCCTTACCTAGCGCCTAGCTAAGAAATCGGTGCACTTAATAATCTTAGAACAAAGAAGAAATTCATTGAAAATTATTCTAATCGGCCAAAAATTACACCCACTTCCCGTATAACGGTCAATTTCAGACATCCGCAAACTCCGATATTTCAATAACTAAGGACGCTAATTTACTCCATGTTATTTCAATAACTAAGGACGCTAATTTAGTCCATGTTAATGCCAAATAAAGGAGTTTTACATTAAAACCCCATATCTGAAAATCAGTTGTATGTAGACAATAATTAGGTTATAGTGACCCGATCTTTGTTAATTTTACTGTAAACTATCTGTTGATAATGAGTGAAAATAGTGCGAAATTTCATGTTTCTAGCTGCATATATGGAGAAGTTTAAACAAATAATTTCATATCTGAGCAATCAGTTGTATGGAGGCTATAGGTTATAGCGATCCCATCTTCGCCATTTTCACTATAAGTATAGCGCTATTCTCCAAATCTTGCAAAGCTATTGCACGTAGCACCGATTGCATGGATTGCATAACTTGCAAACACACAACAACAAAATACATGGGAAACAACATTTCCTATCGCTGCAAAATATGCAACGTTGAAACCCATGTATATATTTTGCAAAATAGCATAGCAAGATAAATGCGACCCTGTGCTAGTTGTTTTGTTGTTGGAATTGCTACATATTTCTCTCATCCCGCTCACTTCATTTTTTTTTTGCTGTCTCTTGTTATTGTATTTGATCAGTGTTACCATTTTGGTGCTTTTGGAGCTAGATTTAGCTCTTTATTTTTCCACTTAGCTCTTTTCAAATTTATATAGCACTTTTTTAGCTCCAGAAAGTTTTAGTTGTATTTGGTATATATAAGCCAAAACTTAAGCGTTGATAAAATGGAAAATTTCGAGATGCAGTGTATCCACCATAAATTCGTGGATCTAGGTTAAAGAATTCAAAAATCAATTAGAGGAAATTCCTTTTTCTGATAGCGCGGATTTTGTTTTACTCTACTAATTTCACCTTTAAGGAGAGCTGGAAGTAAAACTTTCGAGAAAAGTTTTGCGAACAAATCATTCAATTCAAATATCTGAAATTACAGATATTAACAGTTTGTAAAGTATTTTTAGTTCACTGCAATAGCAACGAATTCGAAATATATGCACCTTATTTTGGTTTTAAAAGATTTTTTCAGCACTTCTATATATATAAACGTGAATGTCTGTTTGTTTATTACCTCATAACTTTTGAACCACTACACGGAATCGCACGAAACTTTGCACACTTATTTGTTTTTACCCCGGGAAGGTTATTGGTATGGTTTTGTTTGCAAATATGGTGTCGATTTTGGGAGAGGACGGTGGCACCTCCCATAGGCCTGCAAATTTTTAATCAGCTATAACTTCGGAACCATAAGTCACATGAACTTGAAATTTGGTATGCAGACAAACCTATGGTTACGGTAACCATCCGTTCTGTTTTTTGCAGGACCGTACTGTTTTTCGAAGGTCGGTCCTGCGTAGTTTTTCAAACCTGAAAAACCTGAAAATGTACTGATTTTTTCCAAGTGTCCTGCATTTGTCCCGCATTTTATTCGTTATTTTAAAATTATCGGACAATGGATGGATTTTTTCAAAAAAGTGTTTTTTGGTACTTTTCGTAGCTTTTCTTCAATATCTCATGAAAAAATCTCCAAAGCAACGTAAGCGACTTACAGCTCGAAGGGTATTGATGTGCCTCTTCCCAAAATATATAACTTGTGGCGACTTCAATGAAAATTATTACTACTACAGGCGTTTCATTTAATTTTTTTTTTCATTATTTTAAAAATTTAACTTTGAGCCAAAGATAATAAAAATCGGATTAGGAATGTAGATGCTATGGAGCGCAACCTGCACAAATTATATATTTTTGTAAAGGGCACTTTGTAACTCGTCGTTTACGTCGATTCATGACGTCGATTTTTGACAAATAATTGCGAAAAGTACCAAAAAAAAAACAAAAGAAGGGTATTGTTTTCGTTTTGAACGACTCCACATTTGCCTATAAAATAATCTTTTAAAGATTTTCACTTATATGTAGGCATATTTAATTTCCTCAGTTTCCAGTTCGCTTAGCTTTTGCAATGACAATAACCAAGAATGCCCTTAAGTAAAACCCGAAACTTTATCGAAAATAAAATTTATGATAATCGTATTGGAAAATGCATTCATGTTAATAGATACTTTGAAATATTAAAAAAAAACTCTGTGATATCAAATAAGAGTTATTATTCGTAAGAAATTAGATAGTATTTCTTCTATTATATAATTTATTGGAGATATTTTAACCTAAATAAAAACACTTGCAGTGCCAAAAAGTTATTATTGCATTTCATTCCATAACACACAAGCTATACAGCTGTCCTATCATATGCTGCTAACACGGCTATAGTAAAATTAGAGCAGAGAGTATAACATCTTTACATAAAGTATTTTTCATATTTGTATACAGACGTGGGGTGAAAAACAACCTTACGTCAATAAATGCTCAACCTTAAAAACAAATATGTCGCTCTTCATTTTAGCTACTAAGTATTAGTATTATTTAGGTCTTTTTTTCGACCGTTTTAGCTCTAAACGAAATTTTCTCTGGCAACACTGTATTTGATACATAATTTCGCTGCTTGCTACCCATGCATGCTACCACTTTGCAATGGGGTGCTCTCGTAGTCTTCGAAATTTGGAATAGTATTTTTGCATTTCGTGCAATCCGTGCATAATGGGTGGAAATATTGCAAAATTTCATGTTCCCAGCTGCATAGATGGAGGAGTTATAACGAAAAATCTTACATCTGAACAATCAGTTGTATGGGAGCTATAGGTTATAGTGACCCGATCTTTGTAATTTTCGCTCTAATTTTTTTGTTGATAATGGATAGAAGTATTGCAAAATTTCATGTCCCTAGCTGCATAAATGGAGAAGTTATAATGAAAAATGACTTATCTCAGCAATCAGTTGTATGGAAGCTATATGCTATAGTGGTCTGATTCTTCCGGTTCCGACCAATGATTAATACATTATAAAAATACATCCACCTACCAAATTTGAAATGTGGTTTTATGTGGCACTAGTTAGGTAAAGTGCTAAACATTTATAAAAAAATATTAACCTTAAATAAACAAAAGAAAAATAACAAAAACTAGTCAAAATGTCACTTGACTTAAGCAGCTGACCTTAAGTGTATGTATATTGAAGCCATTTATTGGGTGGTTAAGCCCTTCCTGATTAAATTTGAGTTCAGCAGCCTGATGGCCCCTTGACTAACGAAGTATGTAGATTATTACCTCCTTTATTGACGTTTCATCCTTGAGGAGCAGTGGGCCTGTTGCTTCCTTAATGGCGTCCAATTCTGCCTTAAAACCTATACAACAGCCTGGAAGCCTAAATGTGGTAATGCTGAAGAGATCCGGCAGTAAACAGCAGTTCTGTCTGCAATATGTATCAAAAGGCATTATGTTCTGCATAACCTTAAGCACATGAATTTAGGAGTAGGAGGGGTCCACCAGGCACCACTAATATTACTAATTGCTTCCCTCAAAAAGTATTAGTCACTAAGAAACTATATATCTAAAGAGAAAATTTTAATTAATAAATTTCATACATAAAAATACTACATACATATTTAATTTTCCCTCTTCATCAACAGCTTCAAAACGAGCGAGCGTCCCAATTTGTCCGTCGCTTTAACTGCACCCTCTTCAATATCATCAACTTCGTCCGCCTCACTGCCATCGCCAACATCCGTGCATCCAGCTGCCGTCACACATGCCAGCAACAATAACAATAGGTCACACCACTCATCTTCACCAACAACATGCAGCTATTTATCACAATCAGCCGCAGCACCACCACCACCACCACCGCCACCACTTACGCTACCACCACCTGCGCCACAACATCCACATCCAGCCTCAGTGCTGTATCCAAGTGCGGCCTACAGTGACCATGGCTTCTTGCAAATGACACTCGGCTACTTGTCACCGTCCTCGGGTGCCTACAAATCAGTGGACCCTTATTTTCTTTCACAGGGTAAGTTTGCGTGCACACCAATTATGCAATTAACACCACAGGAGTGTATACAAACATACGAGTATGTATGTATGTATGTAGTTAGTTATTGGAAAAAAATACTATATTTAATTACAAATTAAAAACACCAAACTTTTACGGTTGCCTTTTTTGCAAACAATATTCAATTAGGCGTCAATATCGAAAATTTATTAGATGTTAGTTATTTAATGAAACCTTTTTTTTTTATGTATTTTCAGCAAGCTTGTTTGGTGGTGGTCACCTTTTTGGTGGCGCCGGTTGTGTGCCCGAATTGGCTTTAGGTCTGGGTATGGGTGTGAATGCATTGCGACACTGTCGCCGACGTAAAGCGCGCACTGTCTTCAGTGATCCCCAACTGTCGGGTTTGGAAAAACGTTTTGAGGCGCAAAGGTATCTATCAACGCCCGAACGTGTAGAGCTGGCCAACGCATTGGGTTTGAGTGAGACACAGGTGAAGACGTGGTTTCAGAATCGACGCATGAAACATAAGAAGCAGTTGCGACGGCGAGACAATACAAATGGTGAGTCTACTTAAGACAACTTTTCAATAAGCCAAAATATTCTTTAACATACATTACGTTACTTTGCCATGCGACAATAGGAAAATCTATAGGCAAGTTTAGAACTATCTTCTGTTGCGTTGCAAAAATAATATAGAGACTTCGCAGAGACCGTTATTTTAAAAGAGCCTTAAATCGTAATTATGACTGACTCAGTGAAATTTCGTGCATTGAACTTAAAGCACCTTTACTATACATAACTCAGTGATGCGACCATAGGCTCCGGTAGCTTTATTGGTTTTGAGCCATGTTTTACTACTCGAATTTTTTTATGATCGGATAAGGGGACAATCACTGCACCATCATCAAGTAAAGCATCCGAGTCAGTGCGGAAAATGAACTTTTGTTAGAATAAAATCTAATATCTCGAGAACTCGAACAACTGGGGAAATATATTTAACTATTTGTTCGTTTTAAATCAATGTAAACACCATGTAATGTAATAAATTTGTAAAACCATTGCGACCGTGCGGGGTTTTGTGTAATAGAGTACCAAACTCCTTTTTGTGCAGCGCTAGCAAATGCACCACGGTAACCCATGTTGGTTTCGTTGCTTGCGCTTTCACTAGCCGACGATCGGAACAAAGCCAAGTAATAAAATGAGAAAGTTTTTTACAAGGTGTATTTAACAGGATGGTGTTGGGGCGACAGCTGAGTTTTTCGCCGTGGAGGCCATTACGTCAAAACGATGTGTTTGTTGTAACTCATACCAATGACAGTATGGACATGTATAATTTGTTAGTGTTATTTTTTACTTATATACGGCTAACACCACCTTGTTAAATACGCCTTANTAATAAAATGAGAAAGTTTTTTACAAGGTGTATTTAACAGGATGGTGTTGGGGCGACAGCTGAGTTTTTCGCCGTGGAGGCCATTACGTCAAAACGATGTGTTTGTTGTAACTCATACCAATGACAGTATGGACATGTATAATTTGTTAGTGTTATTTTTTACTTATATATGGCTAACACCACCTTGTTAAATACGCCTTGGTTTTTTATAAAAGACATACAGCGTTTATTAATTAAAAAGCAAGGAACAGTGTTTGTGTTTGACCAAGCCGTTAGAGGAGATGCGCACACAATATTATTTTGGGCAGCACTCCTGGCACTTCAAATGCATTACACTCTACGCTCGTCGAAGCATCCAACTACTTCAGTGGTCCTCAACCTGGTGCCACAACCAGCGACAAACCCGTGTACTTTAGTGCCCACCAACCTGATGCCACAACCACCGACAGATCGTACTTTTATATAAATTTAATTTTTAAACAGTTGACAATCCTATTCAAATTAAATATTCCAAATGTTTCATCTAAGTCCATCCAGCTATTTCTGATATCGTTTTTCATTTCATTAAATTTCAAATCAAACTCTACCAATAAAAAAGTTCGGAAATAAGGTCAATTGGCACTATTTCGCGTACTGGTGCGAAATAAAGTCACTTGACATTATTACCTTTTCAACAAAAATTTGGAAATAAAGTAAATGATGATATTTCCTCATTCAAATGAAAATAGCGCCAACAATGCTTAAAGTATGTCGATTCAAAGAAAAAAAATGCTGTTCTTGCATCGTACGTGAGATATCCGGACAAACTAGAACACTTAATCAGATTTTCTTTTTAATTGGATTAACGATTAATGATAAAAACTAATTAATCGTAATCACAACCGAGTGTATTTCTGTTATGAAAGACAGCTTCACATAAATATACAATCACTGTTCGGAGTTGGCGTAAAACTTTAGGTTCCTCCCCCAATCTTTTATTATTATTAAAGGAGAGAAAATGTTACTCTCTTTGTTTCTTTCGCGCCATTTTAGTTTCAGATTTTTTTCACGGTTTTCACGGAAGGTAAACTCCTAGCTTTCTAATTCTGTTCCACTACATGGTCCATGGCCTTGAGGAGCGCAAAAATCGACAAATTCCTCAAGAGAGTAGTGAAAAAATTGTCGCCACAACTTTCGTTATAGACACCGGATCCTGAACCTGCGTCTGTTTTAGGGTAATCATGCCCATAATATGTTGGACTCCTTTATATGTATATACTAGTGTTGGGCAGTATCGATACCAAAAGCACTCAGAACTTGATTCACAAAAGGATCAGGACAGAAACCAATTTCTAAATGTATCGATACTAAGAACTCAAAAGTACTCAGTACTCATAAAATAACTCGAAAGTACTCAGTACTTAAAAGAACTCGAAAGTACTCAGTACTTAAAAATACTCTGCTCCAATCATCAATTTGATGCAAGCACTCAGGATCGATTCAAAGTACTCAGTAGTAAGTGACGAATAGATACTTAAAAGTACTGAGTTTTATTTATATTTACCTGTATTCAGAAATGATTGTACTCAATTTGAAGTTCTAATAGTTTTCAAGAACAATACTTGAACCCAGTAAAGTTAGCCATTTATTTGACGTAGTTTTGGATTGATATTTTAATCTGAATAAAGTGCTGAGATTTCTTACTCATTTCTACTGAGACTTCTTACTATTTGAAATTTTTCCTGTAACGTTTTAGACATAGTTTTTTTTTTTTAATTCTTTCAATTTCAACCTTAACTATATATATATTTTCAAGTTTATTTTTATTTTTTTTTTTATTTTTTGGAAAAATAATAACAGATTGCCAAAAAAATATATTTTCAAATTATTTTTTATTTTGTAAGGTTTTAACTAAAATATTTTAAATGTCCCCTATGTATTTTTTTATTTATATTTTTTTTTTTCGGGAAAAATAATAATAGCCAAAAAAGTATACTTTCAAATTATTTTTTATTTTGTAAGGGTTTAACAAAAAAACAAATTTTTAATTTTGTCCGCTATGTATTTTTCGCGAAATTCTTGATTTTATTTCTGTAATTATGCAATTATAAAAATTAGTCCATGCATAGTACCTCGCAACAAATGCTGAACAATCTATTTGTATGTAAAAGTATACGCATCTCAAGCAAACCCAAAGGAAGCTTGCAACTCCCATCTTCATTTCCATCGCCATGTCAGCAATAACTTGCTACTAAAGTAAGAGTGAATTCTTTAGTGGCGGCGGGCGACATCTCTCAAAGAACTTTACAAAACTTGCTACTCCATTAGCACCACTTTCTTGAGACTATTTCAGTTCAGAGCACTTCATGTAATTAAATTCCCCAAAATATTCCAAACTTTGTAGTCAAGTGAAAACTTTTTTTAACAAAATTGCTTTATTAACAACTTTTGTGAATTTCCATTTGCAGAACCCGTTGACTTTTCACGTTCGGACGGCAGCGCCAGTGGCAGCAGCAGCAGTCACAGTGCTAAGAGCAGTAGCAATAATATTGTCATGGCCTCCGCCGGTGGCACCTCCACCGCCGCCACCATAGCCGCCAGCAACAATCAGAGTGGCAATTCGAATGCCAATAATAATCATGGTGGAGTGGAAAATACAAATGGCGCTGAAAAGAGTTTCGCTGCGCAGGCCTATGCGCGTGAACAACAACAGCAACAGCAGCAGCAGCAGCAGCAACACGCTACACATCAGCAACACACACTTTTACACTCGCACTCACATCCGCACGCCCATCAAACACACTTACAGTTACGTGGCAATAGCAGCAATGGTGGAGTTGGTGATTCTTTGGGGGCTGGCCACCATCATCCGCCATTAGTGCACGGCAACCTCGCCGTATCGCCACCCCATCAACAACATTTGCAAATGTTGCGCAACATTTCGAGTGGTAATCTGGATAACGCTGTAGGTTTTCTGCAACATGACTACTCTACCGATGATTATTCGGATGTGGATGACGATGAGGAAGATGTCGACGACGATGATGAGGGTAGTGATGTGGATATTGTGGGCGATTCCAAACTTTTTCACTTGACGTAGTGTGTGAAATGCAAGCGCATGAAATGATTGTATTTATTTGGAACAAGTTGCAAATGCATGTATCTAAATATTAAGAGTATTTTAAATGGGAAAAATTTTTAACAATTTTTCTGTGTCCTGCAGTTATGTAAATAAATTTGATGTTTAGAATAAAATAAGGTATGTATGATATTAAATTTGTGATATATTTGTTTTTCTCTTTATTTTGTATGTTAAAAAGCGCCACCGCTGTGGTGTAGTGGTAAGCAGTGCGCGCTTCCACTCCGCAGTGTCTGGGTTCAAGCCCTGGTCAAAGCAGCATCGCAAAAAATATAGAGAAAAGGTTTTTTTCTTAACAGCGGTCGCCCCTCGGCAGGCAATGGCAAAGCTCCGAGTGTATTTTGCCACGAAAAACAGCTTCTCATAAAACTGCAATCGCTGTTCGGAGTCGTGAACCTATAGAGCAGAGACTGTATCGAACATCCATTATAGAAAAAAGGGAAAATTAGTAAATTACAAACTTTGAAATTTAGATTGAGGAAAAGATAATATTTTTTTTTTGAAATTTATAACCCTTTTACTACACTGGTTTTTTAATTTAAATTTGCTCAAAACTTTTTGTTTCTTTTCTTAAAATAAACAAACTTTTTTCATTATTTTGAAACTGTTTACATTTTTTTAATGAGAATCTTTCCTTATTTTTTTTTTTATTATTTTCAGAACCTTTTTAACTTTTGATTTTTTTCTTGTAATTCATTTTAAGGCAAATTTTATTCAATATTTTTTAACAGAAATAATATTTAATTTATATACGCATATATTTTTTTGTATGTTGACGAATGCCATAAAATGGATATGTTTAACTTTTTACCCCCCTGACGACCAAGGGACCATTTATGGCGTTTTCTATTCTACCAGTGCCCTCTACGCACAAATACTAAGGCATTGAAAAGGCAACAGTTTTTGTAGAAAATAAATCGCCATTAGAATAAGCCTGTGCGAATCTTTTGAGCTGAGACTGTATTGATTGCCCCTTTTTTACTAAAAAGCCGAAAATTTATTTAACTGCATTAACATTATGATTTATAAAGCGCTAACTTTTTAAATTCCTTATAAAAATAGAAAATATGTATTTTATTTTTAACCGATTCCACAAAATGGAGAAGGGCTATCAATTCCTTGGGATTTTTTTTGTTATGTATGTTACCGCATAACTTTGGACCACGTTAACCGATTTCTATAGTTCTTTTTTAAAGGAAAGGTGTTACCTCACAGGTGGTCACATACTAATTTGGTTTAAATCCGATCATTGGATCATGAAGAAATTAACGACAATCTTAAACTTTTATATGAGAATTGAAGTCGGTCTTGTTTTTGCTTAAAAATTAGTTGTTCTCTTATATTTTCGCGGTCAACTATGATTATATGAGTTCCCGAAAGACTTTCCCGGACCGATGTTGAATCCACGTTTACGCGTCCTTTAGAAAATTTTTTTCACTCGTCCTTTTTCGCCTTTATTCGTGTCAGTGACGATATTATTATTATTACGTCGGAGATACCCGCGCTGCAACCTAAGAAGATATATTTTGCTAAATCCTAATTGTAATCCCTCCAACCTTAGGCTATTTTAAAAGGTCAGCACTTTGGATGATTCCAAGTTCCAAATTTTAAATGGAGACGACAATCGTCCATCAAGGTAGAATATATTCTGGGGTTTCCTTCACCAGCCCTTCCTTTCAGCCACGTAATCGCTATTTGTACCTCGTCAAAGTCAGGCGGTGAGACGACTCCATCGTCACCGACTAGGGGCTCAGGTTCGTCTTCTCGGCTACTTTCAGCGCTTCTACCATTCAGTAGGGTGGAAAAGTGTTCTCTCCATAATTTAAGTACATTCTGGACACCGGTCACTAGGTCGCCATTGTTGTTCTTACAGGAGTTCGCCCTGGTCTTGAAACCTTCCGCAAGTCGCCTAACCCTCGGTTAGAATTTTCGGGCGGTCTTCCTGTCGGCCAGCATCTCAAGATCTTCGTACTCACGTATTTCGGTCTCTGTATTCTTATTGACAAATACATACGTGTCGCTTCTTCTTCAGTTACCTATAGGGGTCCCAAATTGTTCGCGTTGCGCCCGATCGCAGCGTGTCCTATAGGTGGCATCCTTTTTCTCTGCGGCTTCTTGACATTCCTCATCGGACCAGTTGTTCTTTCGGGCTCACTGAAATCCAACTACTTCCTCGGCAGCGGTATTTATTGATAGGGAAATGTAGTTCCACTGCTCGCGTATGTGGGATTGTTGAAGAGTGCTCTCAGAGAGCAGATGTGTGAGTCGAGTTGCGAATAAATTGGCCGGACGTTTCGTCGTGGAGGCTGAATTTTCCAACAGTGGCGCCAAAGATACCTTGGCATTAAAATCGCCGAGCACGATTTTGACATCGTGTCAAGGGCAGCGCTCATATGTACGCTCCAAACGCTCAAGGAAGAGATCCTTGGACGCCTCGTCCTTCTTTTCCGTCGGGGCATGGGTGCAGATGAGCGATTGTTTTTAGACGTTCATCCACCGGGGTGAGCGCCAGTACTCAGTGACGGAGACTCTCTCCTACCACGAATCCAACACCGAATTTGCGCTCCTTTACGGGCGGCTCGAGCACCCCCTGCCCCTACCTGGCTACGCCGATGGGTCCGGACATTCCAGGTGCATACCCTTTGCCGTGGTCGTCACCAAAAAAAGGTGGTATCATCCGAGGCTTTCTGTTCTTTTTCATTGGGTGGGGTTTTAACGTTTCGGGACCCAAACCCAGCGCACTCGAAGTTTTACGCCTTTTCACTTTAGCTCGCTCCCAAACGGGTGTTTGGTTGCTACCCAGGGAATAATAGTAATAATATAATAATAATAGATTGGCGCTTACACATACATATGTTAGTGTTTGACCGAGCTTCTCCTCCGATTTGTGGCGTGCGCCTTGATGTTGTCACACAAAGCGGAGGGACCTACAGTTTTACGCCGACTCCGAACGGCGATTGTATTTTTATGAGAAACTATTTTTCATGGCAGAAATACACTCGGAGGTTTGCCATTGCCTGCCGAGGGACGACCGCTGTTAAGAAAAAACCTTTTTTCTATATTTTTTTTATGGTGCAACGGAGTGCAGACGCGCACTGCTTACCACTACACCACAGCGGCCGACAGCCAGGCGATGGCCAGGGGATACGTGGATATAAATATCCGGACGTAGTGAGCTGCGATTTGAACCGTAAGTGCGCGAATCACTTCTGGCCACTCTAGGGTTGCCAGATTTTTTTATGCGCGAAATCAGTACATTCGACTTTTTCATGCTAAAAAAATCAGTACTTTTCAGTGCATTTTTATTCAAAGCAAAATTATGAATGTAAGTATCAAATAATACTTCAAAACGCCAGAGTAGTTCTTTTTAACAATATTTTGGTATATAAATAAAATATAGTTCATAAGAAAAGGTTTATTCATTTTAGCATGAGTGTACACAACATTATATTTACGGCATTTTTCAATAGCAATAATGACATCATTTCCATCTTCAGTGTTTAAATAGTCAAAGAATTCTACACTTTTCAATTTAAAATTACTTTTAATATGCAGTTCACTTAAAAATTTTTAATTAGAAGCCGGTTTCTTTCTTTGCACCAGGAAGAAAACTTTATACTTAAGATCCTCTCAGTTGCTTCGTTTGAGTGTGGTATTGAAAAAAAATATATATATTTTTTCAAACCGTGGAAAAGTACCACTATTTAAGGACTTCATCTATAATTCCTCATGACTTAAATTAATTTTTTCAACTACGCAAAAACTTTGGAAGCCTAAGAACTCGCTAATAAGAGTATCTAACTCTATATCTTGTATGCAAAACTCTTTTACAATGTGAGTAAATTGTGAAAAAAGAATTGTAAGTTATAGGCAAAAGCCATTCGAATATTTGAATTTGTTGTTATTAAACTGAAAGTTATTTTCGAAACATCAAGCAACACCCGCCAAAAAAAAACGTCAGCCTTCTTTTTAAACAATTAACCCTCCAAGATATCGAGGGCTTATATTCAATACCCTCTATCTGCATTTTTCATAAAAATCAGATTCTAATATAAAAATCTACCTAAGACCTAACTATCATCGGTGATGTTAATTCTGACCTTGTATCACGCTTGACAGAAGAATTTACTTTAAAATTGCAAAGTCGGAATTAACACCAGTGGTGACAAATAAGACACAGATGGGTTCTAACATCACAAAGTTGTTTTTGTGAAAATTGCAGATAGCGGCTATTGAATATAAGCCCTCGATATTAGGCTTATTCCACAAGCTATGTACTTGTAGAAAAACTCGAGCAAAGTTCAAACTGTGAGCGTATATCAAAGAAACTCTAAAACTTACTTTTGGAACGCGTATGTGTAACTCGAAGTTACTTCGAATAGCTTGTGGAACAAACCTATTATCGAGGGCTTATATTCAATAGCCTCTATCTGCATTTTCACAAAAACAATTTTGTGATGTTAGAACCCATCTGGGTCTTATTTGTCATCGCTGGGGTTAATTCCGACTTTGCAATGCAAAAGTAAATTCTTCTGTCAAGCGTGATACAAGGTCAGAATTAACATCACCGATGACAGTTAAATCTTAGGTGAATTTTTATATTAAAATCTGGTATGTAACGACCCGGCGATATGCCCATAAAGAATTGCTATTTTTTTTTGCATTAATATCTTAGGCATATCAAACATTATCTGAAGCATGTCAACTATAATTAAATTATCATCTTACTTTTTACAGTACAGTTTAAATACTTCCCTAAAAATGGAACTGCAGGACTTTAAAAATCCTATGAATCTAACATACATGCCCACATAACAGCGCTGTCTGCTGTTAATTCATATTTTTCATACCTCATATCTCTGGAAATGTTCATGGTAGAGTTCTGGAACTTGGTATAGGGATATATGAAATCCATCGAATACTCTCGGAGAAAAATTGGAGCTATCGGAAAAGGCGGCGAGGCACCTCCCATACAAACCGAATATTCATACTGCATATATTTATCTGGAAGTGTTCATGGTAGAGTGATGGAACTTGGTATTGGCGATCGTATAATCTTGGAGAAAAATTAGACCTATTGGAAAACGGGGCGTAGCACCTCCCTTTTAAACCAGATTTTTCATCCTGCACATCTCTGGAAGTAATTATGGTAGAGTATTGGAACTTGGTATGGAGAAATATGAAATCAATCCCATGCTCTTGGGTAAAAATTTGAGGTATTTGAAAAGGGCACGTGGCCCCTCCCATACAAACCGAATTTTTCATAATAAGTTTCTCTGGGAGTGTTTATGGTAGAGTACTGGAACTTTATACGGGCGTAGCATCTCCCATACAAGTCGAATTTTCCTTATTGTTCTTGGTAGAGCGCTGGAAGTTGGTGTATTGATAAATGAAATTAATCGCATAGTAATGGAGAAAATATGGAGCTATTGGAAAAAGGGGCGTGGCACCTACCATACAAGCCGAATTTCATACGGCATATCTCTGGAAGTGTTCATGGTACAGGAACACTTCGTATAGAGATGTATGAAATGAAACCCATACTCATTGAGAAAAATTGAGCGAGTCTCTAGATAGTTTAGCTTTATATTTTAATCCGCCAGTTGGCGCTGGAGTTGAGTTATTACTAAAAATCTTGTTTATGATCCGATTTTGCGAATATTCAAAACATGTAGTGGAAACGGTAAAGGCAGTCCAATTGCAAAAGAGAGCTGCCAGGTGGTGCTGAGGTCGAGTTATTACTAAAAATCGACAAATGAGAAAAGGTGCCGTAAATGTCAGACTAAGGGCCGTTTTCTAATGTAAACAGTAAATGTGCCTTTACTAAAAGGGAAGATAAATTGCTGCTCACTTTAAAGTGTTTTCGTTTTCTTATCTTACCGGTAAAAATAAATTTGTTATTCCGTAGCGTGAAACTTCACTACATTTCCGAGAGTAAAATTTCACTACATTCGTCATAAAATTGCAAAGGTTGGCAATGCAACATAAGCAATGACAGACCAAGAGCAACTGTTAGCAAAAACCAAAACCTTGGTTGAAATATCTAACTCATGAACCAAAACCGAACCAAAATTTAAAGTTGGGTACAAATTTTTAAAGGTTGCATCGGGTGAGCAAGAATTTTTCGATTCGAGAAATTAATGCGCTGATGAGAAAACGAAACTCGTATATCGAGACGATAAAGTGGCTGGTAAACTAAAGGTTAGACGAGAAAACGGCCCTAAATCGACCTGTTGCACCATTGAGTATATTGAACTCTCGTGTGTTACGATTGGCCCAGTGGATGTGATTTGCCAATATTATGGCAGTGGTAAACTCAAATCACCACCTGTCGAAATACCTTAAAGCCCAGTTTCATGAAGGCAATTTAATGAAAGTTTATTTTTTTTAATTGAATTTGTTATAGAATCTGACAGAAAAAAAATCATTTTTCACTTAAATTGCTTTCGTGAAACTGGCTTTTAAGGTATTTCATCTCAGTTTATGTATGTATATTGTATTTCTGTTGATACGCATTCATTTTGAAATTGCCACCAACTATAAGATAACGTTTCTAGGGCACATTCACTATAGATCCGGATCATTGTTGCCACCAGGGAACTTCTCATGGACATAACGCTTTCGTTCGGTTATTTAAGGCGGCAAACGACCACCAAACCATAGTCTTAGCCGATGAATGTGCCGTACAAATCGCAAATGTGGATTGTTCGAGAAACTGTTAAACCAAAGTGTTTGAATTAAAAATCGAATTTTGGGCGGGACGAAGTTCGCCGGGTCTGCTAGTTTTTATATATTAGATGTACTATAACCGTTCTAAAAAAAACTATATTATGAACAAAAATCGCAAAATAAGGCACTTACCTGCCGCTTTTCGATCTATGTTGACACAACTGTTATTGATTATAAAGAATAAAATAACAAGCGGAATTTTGTTATCGCCACGTAAAAAAAAAGGCTCTCGTCAGCGGTGGTACTGTCAACCTCTGGCTCAGCGGTGGTAGGAAACTTCAGGAAGCTCTGAGCTCTCGTCAGCGGTGGTACTGTCAACCTCTGGTTCAGCGGTGGTAGATACTTCAGGAAGCTCTGAGCTCTCGTTGCGGTGGTACTGTCAACCTCTGGTTCTGCGGTGTAGACTTCAGGAAGCTCTGAGCTCTCGTCAGCGGTGGTACTTCAATCTCTGGTTCAGCGGTGGTAGGCACTTCAGGAACCTCTGAGCTCTCGTCAGCGGTGGTACCGTTTACCTCTGGCGCAAGTGTGGTGGGTACTTCAGGAGGCTCCGAGCTGTCATCAGCTGTGCTACTTTGGACAGGATTTGGCGAGGTTACTTCTGAAGTTAAAGGATCA